ATAGCTTCAGTCGAGATGCTGTCGTTCCCTCCTACGCTGAGCGCTCTACGTGGCACCCAGCGTTGCAGCTACGCTCAAGGACAACTGATTCTGAAGAAGAGTGGCTGGTATGTACCAGTGTCATCAATCTATCCCCAACAGCCCCAATCACAGCAGTAGTTCACGCACGATGTGAATATTGCTGATACGCTGCGGACCTTGCTCTACAAGATCAAACGTTTTATAATGGCTGACACCCCTAGTAGCGAGCTGACGGTGGTCCCTTTCAGCGGCGTTATACGGATTTGGCACTATCGGCAAGTCATTCAGCATCACAGTCCTCAACCACTCCCTCGATCACAAAGGCATCAACGTCTCCCCTTGTTCGCCACCCATTCAAGACCGACACACAGTCCTTGGGGACAACTCGAAATGCTCCAATCGTACCCTATATCGAATCTATTGCCTTGCCGCCATCGAAACATCGAGCAGCAAATGCTTGGGACCTCAGAGTTGCCCAGAAGGGCTTGATGACCCAGCTCAGAGTTCCTATCCATCTTATGCTCCCGCTGATAGTTCCTGATGACTCCTACCTAAGTAAGGTGTATACAGACTATGTGGAAGGCGCGAGACAAATGCTCAAGTCTGGTGTGCCATTTAGAGATGTCCTCGGCGACAGCGACGATGTATCTCTTGAATTATTCTTCCGATCTCGTACTGAGACTGACGCTTTTGATTGCGCCTCATGGGCATGTGAAGTTTGTCGTGCTCTCCCAATATTGGATGACTATGTTCGCATGGCCACTATTTATATGCTAACATTCATGATGCGGGTAAGCTACAATGACATGGGAGAACGGCAATGGCTTCCATGATTGACGTTATTCAACAGTGGCTGTTGTCACCCACGCAGGAAAACTATGCCAAAATTCCCAACATGACGAAGCCAACACCATCCCAATGCATGATTCCCCATATCGGCGCGATCGAGATATTGCCCTTGTAAGTCAATCTGTCTGTGAAATGTCCATGATTAACGACGCAAAGCTGATACATCAGAGTAGAGGGTCATTGCGAGACGCCCTTATCCATCACATGCGGGATTGGCTGCCACTGCTGAGGGACACGAATTGGTCGCTCAACTGGCCACATGGCCTCGATACAGCAATTATGCATGACCCGGTGACCAACACAAGAAAGCTGACATCCAATTTTATCGAGCATTTTCTCGAATACGATAACTGGAGCATCAGTCGTGACTTGCTGAATGCCTTCCCAGAATTGACAGGGAGGATAGGCGTCCACAAATGATATTGTCCACGACGAGCCTAACATACATGAAGAGGTTCTCCAGCGGGACCAGGAGCTCGATCAAATGATGGTACAATTCCTCGTTTTTCTCGTTTTCAGGAGACCTACAATGAAAGAGTTGCGAACAAGCGCTTCTTGTCGCGAAGCGATTGGAGCACAGGCCAGATTGAACAAGGATTGGCCACCGCCCATCCAGTTGACGCTGAACTCTGCACCGATCAGTACAGCCACTAACAGGCAAGATCTTGTGATCTTGTTTCTCCCATACATTTCCAAATTGAGGGGATAGAGAACATGTAGCCATAACTGAGATTTTCGAAGTGATGCTCAGTAGAAATAGACATTCCTTCAGTGGATAAGTTTGACAAATGGGGAATCTTTTGGACTGGTCAAAGGACAGACATACCGTACGTACATCCCTCGTGGATCGGTATTTCTCCACTAAAATTAAAAACCCCTCCTCTCTTAAGTACACGTTGATTCATTCAGTTAGCAGTTTATTGTGGAAAGGAACGTGCCCTTCCCATTCTACGAACCCTGCGCTGGAGTGTCAGAGAATGTTAACCCGTCCATACATTGTTTCTCACAATCTGCTCTTTCCATGACACCTTGATCTCCCAGTTGCAGCAAGGGAAGGCGTCGCGCGTGATTTGGGTCCTGTAACATGTCGAAGAGGTTTGCGCCGATTGCATGGCAGGATATGCAGGACGCACCAAAGAATCGGTGAATCTTCCATCAAGCCCATTCCAAAGGGCTATAAAGTGTGGGTTCTAGCTCTTCAGCATGGATACGTCTACTCCTGGAGATGGCACTCACGAGTTACGGGACCAGAAGGCATTGGATTACGGTGTATCAACCAGTACCGATGGTACCTGTACAACTTGCGGCGACCTATCAAGTGGTACAGGACCTTTGCCAGGAACTACAAATAAATGAATCTGGTGTAAAAAGACTAGTATTCCTTGATAACTTGTCCCTGACGCTGGCATTGCACACAGTTTATTGCAAATCAGTGTAGGAGTAATGGGTATAATACGGAAAAACCACACGGATCTCCCACAGCGATTCATCGACGCCAAGCTCTCATCTACGCAATTTTGTTACGGGTCTATTGCTACAGAGGTCATCAATCATGCTTTTTGCTTTCTCCGGCAGGATAAAGCCGCAGTCATAGACATTTCGACCGCTCTAACCATCCAGGAGGTCCCTGAGGGCTACGTGGTTAAGCTCCGCAAGAAACCATACAACAACATCGTTGCGCGCGGCTTTTTTGGCAGTGAACCTACTAAAGAGTTGCCAATCTCACGTGCAATTGACTGGTAGGAATCATAACCTGGTTGACGTGGCCGATCAATTACGTGCTAGCTTCACTGTCCAGCGACAAGGGGAAAGAAGGACCTGGAGACCACTCGCTTATTGGCTTTTGGACACTTGCGTAATTAATTCCTACCTCACCTGGCGGTCCTGAAATCCTCCTAATGCATTACTAGCACGTGATTCCCCACAGGGTCTTTCGTCAGGAGTTGATATCGCAACTGTTCGGCCTGAAAGACCCATCACCGTCTCCGCCGCTTACACCAGCTAGGACGCGTTACCACTCAAACTACGCATCCATCGAGATGCCTAAACGGGGACACTGCGCCTGGCGAAGTCCATATGGCGATAACCGCGAGGGTAGTGTAGCAATTACACGTGGAAAAAGCCGTAAACCTTTGATGGAAGTTTCCAGTAATGCCCAACCAAACCGGGTCAGAAAAAGGTCAAAGTTCACTCAATTTGGATGCAGATTGTGTAACATGCATGTCTGTAGACGGAATGATTGCCATGAGAAGTTTCATGGTCTTCTCTGTAGACTCATCGAGGAAATTCTAGCTGGGTGTCCACATTTTCTTGAGGTCAGTAACTTCAGAGGGAAGTCGGTCTCCCCAAAGATTCCCCGATACATTAGGCGTAGCCAGCTCTCCGTCGATTGATGCAATAGGAAGTCAGTCGTGCCACAGAGGTTTCAGGTAATGCCGCAAAGGGATTCTGCAAATCTGACAAGGATCACCATGTCCCAACACCCCTAGCGTCCGCTTGAGGATTGACAACCGGATCTTTCAATATCAGAACATCGTTCGTGCAGAGGGTCTAAAAGTGTGGACCCTGAGATGAATTAATCGTCACAGTTACTAGAGGGGGACCAATGACAAGGACATCGACATTGAGTGGCTTCCGACGAGTGGTCTACATCGAAGACAGTTATCAGATTTTTGTAAACAGGTCATGGTAATTTGGGGGTGATGGGTTGTAGAGATTTCCCGCTTGGTCAGCTATATACCTTCAGAACACATGGGCGACAAGCGCGGCGACCGGGCAGATGCACATGCTTCTGTCCTCCGGACTTTTGGTTTCAGGGGTCGGCATCCTCTCTCAAGTACCTGACAACCTCATACTTTAACATGCCAGCAGCTGATCGAGGAAGGATATGTCCGCATGCGGACACTCTCACGACAGCCAAATCGTCAACCGTCGACTTTCATTCCACATTCAGGCGAGTTTGCACAACGCGCGGCAGCACCACGGTCGAGAATACAACCATGACGCAGGGTGAGCAGGCCTACCATGCGGGTGAGGCTACAGCGATGGTGAGGGTTAGCAGTTGGTGGGCTGCAGGTGTGGTTGGGGTGAGCCAAAGGGCGAGTAACACCCCCCGAAGAGGGAAATCTTACCCCCAAGAATTTGGGTCATATAAACTTTCCCCCGGAGTCTTCCACTCAGCACATAGTTTGCAGTCGTCTCTTAACTCGTTGACGAGATTACTGTCCCTTGATCGGGACCAAACTCTTTCGTGCTACCCTCTAGCATCGGCTGATACTAAAAATGACACACCCGCACGAACTCCAGGAGACTCTTATCACAGATTCAACCAATCCTCTAACTCCGGCAAGATTTCGCTCCTTAGCGCCGCACTTCCCGTGGTCCAGTCCAACGTGTCGAAGACCGTGTCGTGTAGACCTTGATCGATATCATCGAGTGGCGAAATCCATGCTGATTGTTCTGACGAACAAGGGAGACCCACCGTCGTGACGGGAAAGAAAGCATCAACTTCGTCCTGCAGTGCAAATGTTGTCGATAGTTCTGACACTGAAGTTGTCTTTCGAACAATGTTGCTAGGGACGACTTTCTGACTTCCTTGCGGTCGAGACCCGGTGGCTTTCTCTTGCAGTCTAATCGCGGGAACGGCCTCAAGGCGCTTGCCTGTTCTCCTCCAGCCCGGAAGAGTTTGCTCCCGTTCCTTACTGCTGATACCCAATTCGTCGCCGACAATACCACCGCCGACCTTCGCACTCAGCATTCGGAAATCCTCACCGAGTTTTGAGATTTTCAAATCCAACTTCTCGAACCCCTTGGTTTGACAATTGTAACTGCATCGTAGATCCTGATGTTTCTCGTGGAGGAGCTCGAGTTGTTCCTCCAGCCCTTTAACGTGACGCTCTTTGCGGTCGCGGAAAGCCCGTTGGGACGCGCGATTTTGCATCCTTCTCTTCTAAAGTTTGTCACATGTTAGTCTCTTGTTTTAACTCAGCTTTGATGACTAGGGAGGTCAGGTAGATATAGAAGGGTTGCGATGACAACGATTTCGATATATTTGGCGGGCGTGGGGGATGTATGTTTAGCCCGGTCCGGTCACGTGTATTGGTGACTAGACATTACTTGCCACTTTCGATAGAGGAATATTTCCCTGCATCTCGTCCAAATCTGACGATCCCTTTTCCGTGGACAATCCACTAACGCCTGTAAATGGCTTGAAAATGTCCAAGCTCATGGGATCCCACGTCTGGCCCACCGGAACTCTGGACCTGTCGATACCATCGAAATGGACAAGGTTTCTAATGGCCTCCTGTGCAATCCATGTTAGCTTGGTTGGCTTCGAAAATAACTGCCCGCGATGAATGGAGCTGATCATCGCCATGAAGCCTTTCGACCCTAAGCTTGAACCTGGAGGGTTCGTGCAGAGCGTCCGTTATGCTGAGCGATCGAGATCTTGACTTACGCCTGGCGAAGTAAAGTTCGATCGCGATGGATCTATTATTGAGCCAAAATATGGGCTCTGATCAATCGCTGCGCCGGAAAAATAGTCCATGATGCTGGAGACCTAGAAGGCAATTTTCCAGCTCTAGAGGGCTGGAGTGTACTTTGTTGTTGCTTGAACTTCTGCGAGAAGAGCTGTCTTATTTTTTCAGATATTCTTATTCCTGGTCACATATTTATGGAGCTGGATACAGAGATTCTAGGTACCCGCAGAATATTCTGCCCTAGGTAGCATGATAGTGGCAAGTGTAGTAAATTGTTTTGCCGCGTAGTTATAGATCAATGGAAAATGTCAGTTCGATCGTACAAAGCTCAGGTTATGTAAACCCGATGGCATTACACAATTGGTGTAGGTGTGGCATCTCCTGAGGGGAGAGGGGGAAAGGTCCCCTGGTGGGGGGGTCATGCCGAGACTTTAATCCAGCGAAGTTTCACGCCTGTGGGTGCAGCAAGTCAGCAGTCTGCCGCCGTTCTTTCGGGTCCCGCTTATGACGCTTGTTACTGCTATGATGTCATGAGGATGTCGTACATTCTAAGCGCAGCTTATCAGCTAGATAATTGCCAGTACGAGCTTTCATCCAATGCTAACTCGCACGATGGTCTTCGTAGACAGTTTCTGGCTGACGCATCCCGGACACAACGGCGGTAAATCTGGGAATGTGCTGGGTGGCCACGACTAGCATGGTAGCCAACTCCAAATGAACACATCCATAATGACATAGCGGACCCGGTATTATCATAATCTGCAGAGGGATGGAACAACCTCGATGGGAAATTCCCTTGGACCTCGGAAGCATGAATATTGCATGACGCCTTTGAGATTTGCAGCTAAATTCGATAGCCAAACTCAGATCTTTCACCATCCGTCCATCTCACCGCCTTGATTCGTGTGGAAACCTTTCTAGCCCATCGCTAGTCGTAGTTCGTTGCAGCTGCAGGAAAGAGAGTTGTTGAGGATCCAGTCCAGATACCTTCAGACGTGGGGCGATAAGGAGGACAATTAGTAATTCCTTGGTCATCATTGGCAATCCATATGGAAGCCTATGTCACGGAGACTGTATCTATGTGATGAAAGCAGGGCCGGAAAAATAGATTAACAACAATGAGTAACACCTCAAGTCTCAGCATAATCTCGTATTCATAACACCTAACTATATACACATTTCTGGATCCAGTCACCCCTGGGTCTGACCTTGCCTACGAGTCCGCCCATCGCTCATCAGCTACAATCAGATCGATTGTCGCTTGAAGGTTCTCCTCCGGCAAGCCTAGCATTTCATTTGCAAGGAATTCACTCTCAGAGAAAGTATTTCACCTGCCCTCACCGTAGATCGTTGCGAGAAGCAAGTCTCCGATACCCGTCCAGTCCCCCTACTCAATATAGCCTGGCCTTGTTGAGCCGCATCGATGGTGCTGGAATATGTAACTGTTCAGCTATGGCCAGCATCTGCCTTCCGCAGCGCGGCAAGAACTTCATTTTGGCTGATTGCAAATGATTCAATAAAAACATACTGGTTCTTCGTGTGCTCGCCAATATGCAGTATTCGACTAATGGCCATGCTAATCGTGTTGAGTGTGGTTGTAGACCTGCTGATACTGTTTGAAAATGAATTAGCCTGATGAAAGCTGGCCAGAGTACGCAGTATACCGCCACTTAGCGAGTTTGAGGCAGTCTCACGTGGCATCCGCATAGATGGACATGACCAGAAACTCTTTCTTTTCGCTCGATATGCAACATATTCGTAAGTGACAAGTTCAGACCTTCTTTGATGAAAGAGTTTTTAGGCATCGGACGCATGGTACAGCACACAGCTGTGGCAGGATGGAATGAGTGATTGGATAGCCTATGGAGTGTCTCGAGAGAGGGTTAGGATATAGATTTATACGTCGTGTCTGAGAAGGCCTCTAATTTCCTGATTGTAAGAGGAGTAGCCTATACTGCACTCTCTTACTTGCATATATAGGGCAAGTCCTTCTTTACCACCGATATCATCAGTAAGAACTAGTTGAAGTTGATGTCTCTTCTGTTGTCGCAATAACCCCTAGTATACACGGTGAGCAAGCGCTCTACTTCTTCGCTGCACGATACCCCAGATGTGCAGCGAAAAGCTCACTCATTGTTAGCCCGGCCTCTCTCCTTGTGCGACCCGTGCTAGTCAAAAACGTACATCTCGTGTTCGCTTGTAACATTTAGCGTTCCGGTCCTCGATTGATGTGCGGAGCTCTCTTTCCAGACAACACCCTTAGGTTGCTGATCCATGTCGACAAAGCTCCCATTCCAAGTTCCACTTACTCTGTAGAGTAGTGACTGAAATTTTGGGTCATAATCTCGGCTCGACATTTCCTCCATGCAACGCTGGAAATGTAGCCCACCGTCTAGTTGTCCCCTTGATGCTTAAATGGTTCAATGTCAAGATCTGATTCCTCCGATGGAATCAAGAGCCTCCATCAACAGCGCCTCGTCCACGTCAGTCCACCTTGTCGGCATTTGCGCCTCCAAGGCAAAGTCGCTGATATCAAAATCGTCGATCTGATAGCTGAGCACTGCCAGCATCTGCCGAAATATTCTCCACGCCTTATATGACGATAGGGAGCCCGCTGTCAGACACCAAAGATAGGACATGGCCTTCTGTATGTGAGGTACCAGGAAGCTCGGCGGATCTTCTAAGTGTTCCATGCCCAGACAGAGTTCCAATATGAAAACCGCGAGAGCTTGGCCTAGGTAGTGGAGAAGATTCCACTACGGAAGGAGTTGATATGCTTCATGCGCACCTCGGGTCATCTGGTAGAATATTGACCAATGAAATTGCCGCATGCACACAACTCCTCGCGTTACTGAGATTAAAATGCTTGGAGGAAGTCGATTCCGCCCGGATTTCGATATGACACAGGCAAGGTCTGTGTAGAATCATCCTGACGCTCTGATAATATAATGCCAGGTCGATCTTGGCGCGAGGGTCAGTGCCCATGGCCAAAGTACTTCCTAGGTCGAGCGTCTCTGGCAGATCCTTCTGCCACTCGAGAAGCTCACTATCCAGACTGGCCATTCTCTTCTGCATCGTCGCCCATGAACCGGACTGGTTCGGCATATATAGCTGTGTCATCACGCGATTGCTGATAAAGGAAAGCCGAATGCGGCAAGAGAGATACTGTCGAGGCACCCCGTAACCGATGAACTGGAAATTCTGCCACGGCAAGTGACCCCCACGCATCGTCTGAGTGATATCCCTCCTCCTGCGCAAAAAGTCTAACCACAGGGTGCGTGAGCCAAGGATGTCGGGGTAACCAGGAAGCTCGTCATTTGAATCGCCTTGAAGGAGTTCAATGGGAACTGTAGTGTAGGCCAACGAGATTGAGGGCGGCTTTCCCAAGACCTCTGACATGGCCACTTCGAGGCTGTAGAGTGCATACCACGTGAAACAATGACCCACTCAATGGTAGGACGAGCCGGCGCCTGTGACGCGAAAACGACAAACAGCGATATAAGCAGACGCGATCAGCTGGTTGAGGATATGTATATAAGAGTGATGGTCATCAATGGGAATAATGGCACACCTGGTGCGAATGATAGATACAGCACGAAACTGCATCCGCACCGGCTGTGCGGCCAGCACGTAAGTGTAGCGCACGGCGGTCGTAGGCAGTGATATGGAAGTAGTGTCTCCAATCTCAAACCGGAGCCTGAGCTAAACAATCCGGAAACCTTCTCCGGCAAGTTTTACATGTTCTCCCCTAACCCATGCCAACATTGACCGTGGTAAATCTTCGAATCTTCCCCCGTACCCCATCTTGGGTCGACACTTAGCTCGACGAGCCAAAAGTTTTATGGCTTGGGCCTGACGACGACTTTGGCCTCTTCCAAAGCGCAATATTGTAGGAGACCGTTCAACTGCGTCTCTCAATTGACCATCTGGTCCTTGCGTTTATGAACATAACTCGGGCTTTCAAGCGAATGACTAAATGGGCATCTCTCCACTAAACAGTACTTGGGCAGAATTGCAATTCCACGAACGCTGCGTATATGGGCCGAGACAATCTCACAACTGACTGTAAGTGCAACCAGGAAGTAGGAATGAATGCCAGAAATGGTCGCGGTAACCCAGTGATATACTTGTCAAAGAATTGCCATTCGAATAAATGATGCATTGAAAAGGAGAATGATGCATGAGCGACTCAGCGACATCTGAACAGGCAAGGTGAAGTCATCAACGGCAACATCGATTGAAAGGTTCTGAATGCAGCACTCGAGTCTGCAGAAGCCTCCCAAATATTCAAATCACGGGTTCCGGCGACCACGCCGAGGGTACAATATAGGCTGTAACGAGGCACTAAGTTCGCGCATGTCAGATCGTCTCATTGTAATGATAGGTCGAGATATAAGGTCAGTAGGATACCGGTGTGAATCAAAAGACTGCAAGTGTCATTCATTGCACGGAGTAAATTTAATGACGCACGACTCCTGAAACACTCCTTCGAGCATGGATCTGTACTTTAAGGTACAGACACAGTTTCTATCACGCTAACTACTTTCACAGAGCGGCTGTTGTCCAGGCCGCCTTGGCAAGTACTGTAACTGTAAGGACGGTTGTGATGCGAAAACATACTGATACAGGCATTTCAAAACACCGCCCCAGGAAGGGTTTTTCGGTCCAGAGGTGTCTGGGAGATTCTCTAGGTGGGTGGCCCTAGTAAAGACACCCCCTCCCACCCTCTTTAGGTAGGCGCTCACGTCCAAGGAGCAACCCCTGGGGGTCCGTTACACTCTTCAAGAAGCATTGAGCACCCCGACCACACCTACAACGCCCATCAAGACCGCCTAAAACAATCTCTCCCGGGCCCTTGCACACCGCCTACGAGGTTGAACAATGTGGATTACAGGGCTGCTGTCAGTTGGCGTACTTGGAGACAGTAAAGATGTGTCCATGGTCTCCAGCTCGCACTGAGGACTATCATCAGCTAAGCTAGTAAGATGAAAATAGTAGAACCGACAGTATTGATAACATCTCTGATGCTGGCAGATTCAGGTGCATCCAGGTTGGGACTGGTGGCAAG